ATATATATATATATATATATATATATATATTTTGTATACACAAAAATTATACAATTTTTATATACTTTTTCGGCTACCAGATTAAATACTTTCTGACATGGGCTAAAAGTGATAGTACCCCATAATAATTCCCCACCCATTGAATTCATTTTTATTTCTGTCTGATGGCATATATTAGAGAGCTGTTCACACCAAAGGATACACAAGTTCACATGGTCGCGGTCTTTTAAAGCTCGATGTAGCGTAACTCGAAAGATAAATCCGTAAGGTCTGTTGGGCCAAAGCGGTCAGTACGTACCATGGACTTGGATCATAATCGAAAATTTTGAAAAGACTCTTAAAAAGCATAATGTAGTGGGGTGGGGGGTTGGGGGGTGGGGGAATTCAAAATTCTTTCAGTTTTTATAAAATATTGAGAAAAAAAAAAGTTTTCCCCCGAATAATTACCTCTTTTCAACCTAAACGCAGGAAACTGTTTATATTCAACATGTTACTTCTCATACGAAAAAAAATTGTTTTGCTTCAATAATAAAACGACTTTTTATGTTACTTATGCTTTGTTCTTTGCAGCATAACGTTGAACATTTCCTTTTTCCAGAAATCAATTAACTTCATTTTGAAGCTTTCAACTATGGATGGACGGGCTATTATTTGTATTTGTTCTTTTCCCGTAACTAAAACTAAAAGTGGTAATTAGATTTAGTTTTCGGAAAATAACTTTACAGAATTGTCTTTTAAATTAATTTTCGAGAAAATGTTTTTCGAAATCTCGTGTTATTTTAGGATAAGCGACCTTGTTTTTTTTTTCCTTGTCTCTTTAAAAAAAAACATTTTGACTACGTTGCCCCTAAAACAAAAAAACTATTTTCAAAATCAATTGCCTTAGTTTAGGTTTGTGGAAAAATAATTTTGGGTAACCAAATGTAGTCTTCATTGGCGCGTAGGGTTTGGTCTTGTAGTGTTGACCGTATCCGTAAGACTTTTGTTGGCGTGCATCCCTTCTAGAAAATTCATTAAGCTTTGATTCCATAACGTCAAATTGCAGAATTGCAAGTTGATATAATTGGTCTTGATCATTCATGAAAAACAATCCATTAACAGAGTTAACATAGGATAACGGTGGTGTATTTTGCTAGATTTTCTATTATTATTCGTAGAACGACAAGATTTTCTTGTTAACATCTTAATCATATGATATTCAAAATTCACTCTCCCGACTAATTTAGATTAGTCCCCAAAAGGCCAAATTTGTGGTGGAAGCACATGAACTTTGTTGGGCTAAATTAGCCCAAAGACAATCTTAATATGGTGTGATATTGTGCGCTTTGGGCCAAGCTCGCACGGTTTTTCCCAAAAGGCCTCACACCATTAAGAAATCCCTACACCTTATATGTAGACTCCCAATCTTTTCAGATACCAATGTAGGACTTTGTTCGCACACCCAACAATCTCCCCCTCGAACTAAGTTCCACATGACCCACTACCACGATCCATGGGTCAATTTCCGAGATTACTGTGTGCCACCCACATTATTACACAATCACTCCGCCATCTCCATACTCGTCCCGCTGAACTTGGGCTCTGATACCAGTTAATGGGTTTTCCCCAAAAGGCCTCACACCATTAAGAAATCCCTACACCTTATATGTAGACTCCCAATCTTTTCAGCTACCAATGTGGGATTTTGTTCGCACACCCAACAAACTTATTAGCATAGATGATTTGTTTGCATACCCTCCTCGAGATATGAAAAGAGGGTTCAGATACAGGTTGCCACTAAAGGAAGCACTTTCGGTACAAACCTAAAACAATTGTGTACTTGGAAGTTCCCTGCCAAAAATTTCTTATTCCAAAACTCAGAACCTGAGGCATATGACTAAGAGTGGAGACATCTAATTCATCTCACCATATTTCTTGTTGTTGGTAGAATGACAAGATACTAACATGAAACTAGGGCATAAAT